TTATACTGGGTAGGTTTTATATTATTAAAGGGACACTCCAGGCTCCCACACACGTTAGATGCACTGTGTAGGTTAGGTTATAGTTAGTTATACTGGGTGGGTTTATATTATTAAAGGGACACTCCAGACTCGCACACACGTTAGATGCACTGTGTAGGTTAGGTTACAGTTATACTGGGTGGGTTTATATTATTAAAGGGACACTCCAGGCTCCCACACACGTTGGATGCACTGTGTAGGTTAGGTTACAGTTAGTTATACTGGGTGGGTTTATATTATTAAAGGGACACTCCAGGCTCCCACACATGTTAGATGCACTGTGTAGGTTAGGTTACAGTTAGTTATACTGGGTAGGTTTATATTATTAAAGGGACACACCAGGCTCCCACACACGTTAGATGAACTGTGTAGGTTAGGTTATAGTTAGTTATACTGGGTGGGTTTATATTATTAAAGGGACACTCCAGGCTCCCACACACGTTAGATGCACTGTGTAGGTTAGGTTACAGTTAGTTATACTGGGTGGGTTTATATTATTAAAGGGACACTCCAGGCTCCCACACACGTTAGGCACACTGTGCAGGTTAGGTTATAGTTAGTTATACTGGGTGGGTTTATATTATTAAAGGGACACTCCAGGCTCCCACACACGTTAGATGCACTGTAGGTTAGGTTACAGTTAGTCATACTGGGTGGGTTTATATTATTAAAGGGACACTCCAGGCTCCCACACACGTTAGATGCACTGTGTAGGTTAGGTTACAGTTAGTTATACTGGGTGGGTTTATATTATTAAAGGGACACTCCAGGCTCCCACACACGTTAGATGCACTGTGTAGGTTAGGTTACAGCTAGTTATACTGGGTGGGTTTATATTATTAAAGGGACACTCCAGGCTCCCACACACGTTAGATGCACTGTGTAGGTTAGGTTACAGTTAGTTATACTGGGTGGGATTATATTATTAAAGGGACACTCCAGGCTCCCACACACGTTAGATGCACTGTGTAGGTTAGGTTACAGTTAGTTATACTGGGTGGGTTTATATTATTAAAGGGACACTCCAGGCCTCACACACGTTAGGTGCACTGTGTAGGTTAGGTTACAGTTAGTTATACTGGGTGGGTTTATATTATTAAAGGGACACTCCAGGCCTCCCACACACGTTAGGTGCACTGTGTAGGTTAGGTTACAGTTAGTTATACTGGGTGGGTTTATATTATTAAAGGGACACTCCAGGCCTCCCACACACGTTAGATGCACTGTGTAGGTTAGGGTACAGTTAGTTATACTGGGTGGGTTTATATTATTAAAGGGACACTCCAGGCTCCCACACACGTTAGATGCACTGTGTAGGTTAGGTTACAGTTAGTTATACTGGGAGGGCTTATATTATTAAAGGGTCACTCCAGGCTCCCACACACATTAGATGCACTGTGTAGGTTAGGTTACAGTTAGTTATACTGGGAGGGCTTATATTATTAAAGGGTCACTCCAGGCTCCCACACACATTAGGTGCACTGTGTAGGTTAGGTTACAGTTATACTGGGTGGGTTTATATTATTAAAGGGACACTCCAGGCTCCCACACAATGGGCTGTTGTATGCACCCGTGTAGGTTATGGGGGTTACAGTTGGGTTATACTGGGTAGGTTTATATTATTATTAAATGGACACTCCAGGCTCCATCACCACACATTAGGTGCACCCTCGTGTAGGTTAGGTTACAGTTAGTTATACTGGTGGGCTTCTATATACAAGGACACCGTGCCCTACACACGCAGGGTGCACTACAGTTATATACTGGGTGGGTTTATATTATTAAAGGGACACTCCAGGCTCCCACACACGTTAGATGCACTGTGTAGGTAGGTTACAGTTAGTTATACTGGGTGGGTTTATATTATTAAAGGGACACTCCAGGCTCCCACACACGTTAGATGCACTGTGTAGGTTAGGTTACAGTTAGTTATACTTGGTGGGTTTATATTATTAAAGGGACACTCCAGGCTCCCACACACGTTAGATGCACTGTGTAGGTTAGGTTACAGTTAGTTATACTGGGTGGGTTTATATTATTAAAGGGACACTCCAGGCTCCCACACACGTTAGGTGCACTGTGTAGGTTAGGTTACAGTTAGTTATACTGGGTGGGTTTATATTATTAAAGGGACACTCCAGGCTCCCACACACGTTAGATGCACTGTGTAGGTTAGGTTACAGTTAGTTATACTGGGTGGGTTTATATTATTAAAGGGACACTCCAGGCTCCCACACACGTTAGGTGCACTGTGTAGGTTAGGTTACAGTTAGTTATACTGGGTGGGTTTATATTATTAAAGGGACACTCCAGGCTCCTACACACGTTAGATGCACTGTGAAGGTTTGGTTACAGTTAGTTATACTGAGTGGGTTTATATTATTAAAGGGACACTCCAGGCTCCCACACACGTTAGGTGCACTGTGTAGGTTAGGTTACAGTTAGTTGTACTGGGTGGGTTTATATTATTAAAGGGACACTCCAGGCTCCCACACACGTTAGGTGCACTGTGTAGATTAGGTTACAGTTAGTTATACTGGGTGGGTTTATATTATTAAAGGGACACTCCAGCCTCCCACACACGTTAGATGTACTGTGTAGGTTGGTTACAGTTAGTTATACTGGGTGGGTTTATATTATTAAAGGGGACACTCCAGGCTCCTACACACGTTACATGCACTGTGTAGGTTAGGTTACAGTTAGTTATACTGGGTGGTCTTATATTATTAAAGGGACACGCCAGGCTCCCACACACGCTAGGTGCACTTTGAAGGTTAGTTTACAGTCATACTGCGTGGGTTTATATTATTGACCAGATTAAAGGGGCACACACTTACTCAAAACTCAGTTTCTTCTTTCCCACGTCCCCCAGTACAATCAATACTCTTTAATCCACCTCTATACTTGTCATATTCTAACAATTATACGTTTGTCTTCTAGTGGTACCCAGAAGTGCGGCATCACTGTCCCAACACACCAATTATTTTGGTGGGTACCAAACTTGACCTGAGAGACGATAAGGACACCATTGAGCGGCTCAGGGACAAGAGGCTTTCTCCGATTACTTATCCTCAAGGCTTGGCAATGGCCCGTGAAATAGGTAAGAGCAGTGGAATGTGTTTGTCATAAAGAGACTCTCTATCAAAACTTCTTCTTCAAACCATTTAATTGAAATTACAACCTGGTGAGACGGTATAGGTAAAGGCGGGGACTATGTATGATATCCGCACATATTTTTGGCAAAATGTTACAAAAGCTGAGAGGTTTGAGAAGCCTCCATTGCCACATCTCAATGCCATAACCAGCTGCCGCTAAAGTGTCCAGTGGAGGATCCTGAATCTACCAACCCCCACCTTTCTGCATGCTTACGTTTTGTATAGGATTAATCTATGTCAATCTACTAATTAAGGCAGTGTGGTCAAATATAAGTAGCTTACAAAATAAATACCAAAATAGTGACGTAGAAAACGTTCTCCAAGTTCCCGATTTATTCACTGAACTGACAGACTTGTTGAGTTTGGGGCAAAAATGCTAGTTTTTCTCATTTGACAACTTTCCAATCTATTTCACAGTAAGCCATTAAATTAATAACTTTTTTGATCTAAATTATGAATTTGGTCCGCCAGGATTTTTTTTTTTTCTAATCTGTATGGTTTTTCAGTAATTGTTTTGTTTTAACATGCAAAGGTTCCGTGAAATATTTGGAGTGCTCTGCTCTCACCCAACGTGGCCTGAAGACAGTGTTTGATGAAGCAATCAGAGCAGTCCTATGTCCTCCACCTGTTAAGAGAAGTGGGAAGAAATGCACTTTTTTCTGAAGACCAAAAATTAAAATCCTGGACACCGGAACTAGCTCTTACCATCTCTTTCCAAAGAAGCAAGGCCTGCCAGAGGAGTGTGGAGGCCGGATACTCGCAGATGTTTTCCGTGGTTTCGTGTTTTGTGAATGTACGGAGCATGGGGGGGGGAGGGAAATGGGCAACACAGCGATCTCCGCGATGCGGAGCGACAACTTCTTTGCGCCAAAAGGACTAGACTTTTGCAGAGATATGATCGGATTCAGATTTGACAGACCCCCTTTCTGATGTGGCACAGTGATAGATTCCATTTTCTCTGAGGATGGTTTGCCACCTGAAATAAACTGTTTATTTAGCAAAAGGAGGTGGGTGGTCTGCATGGGTCAGGGCGCAGTAATAATCGCTGCTCATCTAATATTTCTATTGCATGGGGACACGTTCTTGTTCTGTGTTTTGACTACAAGAAATCTGTGAATTATGTACTAATTGTTTTGGATTTGGATAAAAAGAAAATATATATATCTTTGTTGAAGTCCTGTCACAAATGCCCGTCCCGACCAGCTCATATAATGGTTATACAAAAGGCAAGAGAATTACAGAGATTGGACCACAATAACCAGCCTATGCCTTTTTAGAGAATTATGGGACATGTGGTGTCGTAAACCAAGACAGTCCTGGTACATCTGTCCTGAAGGGGTTAAAATTGCAGTTTAACGGATAATGGGAAAAGTTATCTTTTTCTTGTTGATCTCAAATAAAAAAAGACAGTACAGCTTTTATTATGTATTTTGTATTACTCGGTGATTGTGGATTCGCGTGGTAAGACTGTCTGTCTAGTATACGCTAATCAGATAATGGCGAAAGTGGTCTGTATGTCAGTGACACGGAGAATACCCTTTATGGTTAAACATGTACACTGTATGGAGGTATGTACGTGCTACTTTAGACAGTCAATCAAGAGTTACTTTGACCATTATATAAATTAGGTTTTTTTTTTGTTTTAAAAACTGTCCTGACATTCTTCTATATATAATTATGCTAATCCGGCTGATTTTTAAGATACTGCTATATGAAGGTAGGTTCTAAGTAGGCTTTTTTGCTTGCTTGTTTGTTTGTTTGTTGTATTGGGTTTAATGTCAATAATTAAAACAGGACTCGTTAGGATTTATGTAAGCACAACAGATCAGTTTTAGTGATATTTCATAATTAGTGAAACGATTATACATTCTAAGAATCCTACTCTATTTTTATACGCGCACAGTATCTTTGCATAGAAAAGGAGACAATTATTTTCTCAATTATATAAAATACTGCACAAAGTTATTTGCTGATTGTGAGATGATGCCGCAAGATTGAGAGCCACGTGGAGAAACTGGATTCCCATAGATCAGCAGGCAAGGAAGCCTCCATCCACCGGCAGACACGAGCCCGTTATCATGGCGCTCTTATCGCTGAGCAGGAAGAGAATACTGTTAACCACATCCTCGACCTCTGAAAATAAAGCAAGTATTAGGGAGGTAAGTTGTATTCACTGGGACCATAGGGAGACCCGGCAGAGGGTTCTCAGAAACAGACAAAGCCAATGGACAGTGGTTTAGAGGACAGACCGCTTAGACCATTATGGGTAAAAATGAGGTTCAGATTGGGATTTGGCTCTGCGCTGCAAAGGCCGCGAGGCGGGAGGAAGAACTAGTATCATGGGTTTTAATTGCTCAGCCCGTGTAAACCTGGAAACCTATTTACTAAATGAGGAGTGATGAGTTTATAATGAATAGTCCGCACAGTAGCCAACACTGCTGATAGGGTTACTGCCTTTTTCATTTAAATAAAGACTGAGTACTTAATGTTAGAATGTACTGGCACACAGAAAAATCGTGCCGTGGGACAAGGGAGAATAAGATGACCAGTGTTAGAACAGGGTGATTGAAAGTTGTGAAAATTCAGGCTCGTCAGTATGATGCAAATTCCATATCAGATGTAGGCAGGCACATGTAAAAGGAAACAAAGACAAAATATAGTGCAGCAGTGTGGTAAACTATAACAGACACTTTATTTGGTAAAACTCACAAGATAAAAGTAAAAGAAATGTCCTGTAGACGCCCATCAACCAATATGGCCGTACTCGTCCACGATGGTGTAATATGAAGAATATGTTCGGGTCCAGCGGTTGAAAATAGGCAACAAAATAATAAGTAATACTGGATAAAATATAAATGTTAAAAAGGCCCTACGCATTTCATCTAATTCTTAAGACTTCTTCAGGAACATTGAGCAAAGCAAGTCTGTTGCCGTCTACAGAACATGTTGGTTGATGGGCGCCTACAGAACATGTTGGTTGATGGGCGCCTACTGGACATGTTGGTTGATGGGCGCCTACTGGACATGTTGGTTGATGGGCTTTCTTTTTACTTTTATCTTGTGAGTTTTACCAAATAAAGTGTTTGTTATATTTTACCACAGTGCTGCACTATGTTTTGTCTTTGTTTCCTTTTACATGTGCCTGCCTACATCTGTTATGGAATTTGCATCATACTGACGAGCCTGAATTTTCACGACTTTTGTAAGTGTGACCTTGAACCTTTAGTACTAACTGAGTTTATACTTTATTACCCTAGGAGTTGTCTTGTGTTCCCTTGTAGATTATATTAGTTTTCTAGTGTATTGAGGAATCCTGTATATCTACATCTTTAAACGAAAGGGTAACTTATCCGCACTGCACTTTTGAGGTAGTTATAGTGTTTATACGTTTTGTGATCGAAAGTTGACAAGCTTCATGGTAGAATAGCTGGGGGTCTAACTTTCTGCCAATCCCACACCCCAATAAAATAGAAGAACGAAAGATTGTAAAGACAGACTGACCAGCAAAGCGCCCCAGCGGAATGCGGTTCAACATACGTCCAGCCTTCTCCGGATCGCTCCACCCAATGCGTCCCATATTAGTCATTACCACGGTGGGGTTCACTGCATTAACACGGATCTAAAAAAAAAAAATTCGGTTATATAAATCTAGCTTTGTCTGTGAAAAGAGCTTAATGCGCATAAATTTGGATTGTCAAAAATCAGTCACGTTAGGAAATTAGAGCCATCTAAAGGGAAAACACATGTAGATAGTTAATTTTAAACAAAGCCTTAGGATATGCAGATGAGACGATATGGTGTAAATCAAGCATGTCAAAATCAGTCTAGCACGGGCCAAATAAACAAGGTTTAAGTTTATGTGGGCCGCAAAAATTAAACGTAGGTTTATTTTAATAAGTACAGTATAAAAAAAACCCAGCATCCCCTCTACTAAACCACAGCACCCCCTCTAGTAAAACCCAGTCTCCCCCATATACCAAAGCGAAGCACCCCCCTCTAGCCAACAAGCAGACTCCACTCACATTGCCGCTGCCAGTATGCGACTCTGGAGTCTGGCCTCTGGTATACCCCAAATGGCGCCGTCCGCACTGTGTGCCAAAGCGGGTACTCCCACTACTTATTGAAACCCTGTGAAGGTGGAGCACATTGACGTCACGTCGGAATGTGATGTGGCATTGCGTGCCGCCGTGCACCTCCAGGTCCTCATGGCCATCGCAACATACACTCACTGCTTCCTCACACGCGCAGTTTATTGATGCCAGAATATGATGCCACGCCCGCGAGGGAGCAATGCGCAGCAGGAAGACTGAGCTCCTCCAGCGACCTCTCCTCATGACCAGGTAAATTTTAGCAGAGTAGGCACCTGCAATGTGGAGAAAGCATGTGTCTACTCTGCTTTAACACTAAGCATGTACTTGCGGCTCGCCGGGCCACAAAGATGTCCATTGTGGGCCGCGAGTTTGACATGCTTGGTGTAAATGAATACATTTTACATAGTTATTAAATCAAGTGTCAATTTCCAAGAATTCAGGGGGAATTTAAAACTTTAGGACACAACAGCAGAATTGAATTTTCCAAGTTTGAATATTTTGGCTTGAATATCTGACAATTTACACTTTAGTAAAACCCTACTGGTCTCAATATGGACACTGTAAGCACAATAACCATTTCATCTCACTGAATTGGTTATAGTACCTGGAGTCATTCATTTAACACTGAATGAGGGTCCCTGGTCACCCACAGCCCGGCTCCGACTGGAGGTGGCTAAAGCTGAGATCACACTTCCTCCTAGCCATACCAATTCATACCAGCAACGGGTGCAGTCATAGGCTGAAAGCGGTCAGCTGACACTCTCAGCCGATCACAGCCACCCATTGCTACTTATGCTAATGCTTCCTCATTAGCCCAGGCAGCACAGACGGGATGAGCTACTGGGGACTCTTGTTTAGCATTAAAACATTGAAAATGGTTTGGTGGTGAAAGGAAGGAAGGAGCCAGGGGTCTTCAGACACTATAACCAACACACAGACACACCTTAGATTAAAGGAATGTCAGACACTATAACCACTGCAATGAGATGAAAGGCCGAGTTGGACATGCAGTGATTTTAACAGAAAGTGATATATTTATAGCAACCACTAAATGTATCCTACAAGACCCTAAGGATATTGCATTTGTTCTAAACACAGCACTTTGCATCAAAATTGATCCATATTTGCCTTTTTTTTTTTTTTAACAACCAAAAAAACAAAACCTGAATTGAGTGCCTTTTGAGCTGCGTTCTTGCATTAAAGTTCAATTTAATTCTGGTACATCACAGACTCATTTGCAATTTCAATCATTTCAGTGGCAGTGCTATATTTTTACCCTTGTGAAAATCACTAAATTGTATTAGGCTGAGGTAGGACCACATGGCCCCCTCTAATGACCATCCATGTGACCATTTTACATATTTTATATTAAGATGTGTTCCCAGGCACCACTTTCTCTCTCCCCTCGGGTTAATACAGAAGACGACATTCCTTTAATCTAAGGTGTGTCTGTGTGTTGGAGTGTAATAAACAGATCGTATCGGGTCCATGTGCCAAATATATAATTGCTCTGGAATTTTTTTGTCTAACGCGGTTTCAAGTATGCTGACGGATATTGGACATTATAAATAATTTCTTTTCTTCATTTACTAGAGTTTTTGGTAGTCAGATTCTCTATAACCTTGCCCGTATCTTTATCTTTTTCAGTTCTATTTTCAATTCAATGCAATATATATACACTGCTCAAAAAAAATGAATGAATGAAATATTCTTCTATTTAATTAATTACATAGTTCTTTACATAGTTGAATGTGCTGAAACAAAATCACAAAAAAAAAAAAATGGAAATCAAATTTTTCAATCCATGGAGGTCTGGATTTGGAGTCACACTCAAAATTATAGTGGAAAAACACACTACAGGCTGATCCAACTTTGATGTAATGTCCTTAAAACAAGTCAAAATGAGGCTCAGTAGTGTGTGTGGCCTCCACGTGCCTGTATGACCTCCCTACAATGTCTGTGCATTCTTCTGATGAGGTGGTGGATGGTCTCCTGAGGGATCTCCTCCCAGACTTGGACTAAAGCATCTGCCAACTCCTGGACAGTCTGTGGTGCAACGTGACGTTGGTGGATGGAGCGAGACATGATGTCCCAGATGTGCTCAATTGGATTCAGGTCTGGGGAACGGGAGGGCCAGTCCATAGCATCAATGCCTTCATCTTGCAGGAACTGCTGACACACTCCAGCCACATGAGGTCTAGCATTAGGAGGAACTCAGGGCCAACAGCACCAGCATATGGTCTCACAAGGGGTCTGAGGATCTCAGCTCGGTACCTAATGGCAGTCAGGCTACCTCTGGCGAGGACATGGAGGGCTGTGCAGCCCCCCAAAGAAATGCCACCTCACACCATTACTGACCCACTGCCAAACCGGTCATGGTGGAGGATGTTGCAGGCAGCAGAACGTTCTCCACTGCATCTCCAGACTGTCACATGTGCTCAGTGTGAACCTGCTTTCATCTGTGAAGAGCACAGGGCACCAGTGGCGAATTTGCCAATCTTGGTATTCTCTGGCAAATGTCAAACATCCTGCATGGTGTTGGGCTGTAGGCACAACCCCCACCTGTGGGCGTCGGGCCCTCATACCACTCTCATGGAGTCTGTTTCTGACCGTTTGAGCAGAAACATGCACATTTGTGACCTGCTGGAGGTCATTTTGCAGTGCTCTGGCAGTGCTCCTCCTTGCACAAAGGCGGAGGTAGCAGTCCTGCTGCTGGGTTGTTGCCCTCCTACGGCTTCCTCCACGTCTCCTGATGTACTGGTCTGTCTCCTGGTAGCGCCTCCATGCTCTGGACACTACGCTGACAGACACAGCAAACCTTCTTGTCACAGCTCTCATTGATGTGCCTTCCTGGATGAGCTGCACTACCTGAGCCACTTGTGTGGGGTGTAGACTCTGTCTCATGCTGCCATTAGAGTGAAAGCACTGCCAGCATTCAAAAGTGACCAAAACATCAGCCAGGAAGCATAGGAACTGAGAAGTGGTCTGTGGTCACCACCTGCAGAACCACTCCTTTATTGGGGGTGTCTTGCTAATTGCCTATAATTTCCACCTGTTGTCTATCCCATTTGCACAACAGCATGTGAAATTGATTATCACTCAGTGTTGCTTCCTAAGTGGACAGTTTGATTTCACTGAAGTGTGATTGACTTGGAGTTACATTGTGTTGTTTAACCCCTTAAGGACGTTGGACGGTTCAGGACCATCATCGGCATTTTTGCGTTGCCGACCGATGACGGTCCTGAACCGTCCTAACGGTTAGAGCTACTTACCTGATCGCCGTCGTTCCCCCGGCGGCGATCAGCGTGGCTCCGGTTGTGGGGAGACTGCCTGCAGCCCAGGCAGTCTCCCCACGGCAGATTAGGACCCCTGTGGCCATGTGATCGCTTAACACAGCGATCACATGGTCACAATAGGTGTCCATGTGTCTGCCTGCAGGGGGACTGCCTGTACTGACAGGCAGTCTCCCTGCTAGTGTAAAATCAAAAAATAAAATAAAGTTAGTGTTAATAAAAAAAATAAAAATAATTATATATGTGTATATATGATATATAGACATATATTATACCTATGCAATATATGTCTATATATCATATATATATATATATATATATATATAATGTCATACTAAGTGTATTTTTATATTAATATGTACTTATATTAATATAAAAATACACTTATAATTAAATTACACACGTATATATATAATATATATAATAACTATATATATTGTATATATATATTATAAAATATAAATAAGTAATTTAAATTAAATAAAAATTTTTTAAATAATAATAAAAAATTTAAAAATTATATAGCTATATGAAATTTTATTCTAACTGTATTTTAAAATTAATATATATATATTTATATCAAAATACACTTAGAATGAATTTGTATATATATCTATGTATATAAAAATAAATAAAAATAATAAGAAATATACATATGTCCATATACAAAATTACATAAATAATTATATAAATATACACGTAAACTTCAAATATATAAATATGCATATATATTTAAATTCTACGTGCGTATTTATGTAATATTTTTAAATAATTCAGTAATTTTATTGATTGCAATTTGAGGGACCTGCCTGCCAACCCAGGCCGAAATTCCAGAGAATTTAATTTGCTAGCACTGTATTTTACCCTGTAGCGTTCTACGACACCCTAAAACCTGTACATGGGGGGTACTGTTTTACTCGGGAGACTTCGCTGAACACAAATATTAGTGATTCAAAACAGTAAAAAATATCACAGCGATGATATTGTCAGTGAAAGTTACTTTTTTTGCATTTTTCACACACAAACAGCAGTTTTACTGATGATATAATTGTTGTGATACGTTTTCCAGTTTTTAAACACTAATATTTGTGTTCAGCGATGTCTCCCGAGTAAAACAGTACCCCCCATGTACAGGTTTTATAGCATTTTTGAAAGTTACAAGGTCAAATATATGGGTCAAATATTTTACATTGAAAATGGCCAGGTTGGTCACGTTGCCTTTGAGAGCGTATGGTAGCCCAGGAATGAGAATTACCCCCATGATGGCATACCATTTGCAAAAGAAGACAACCCAAGGTATTGCAAATGGGGTATGTCCAGTCTTTTTTAGTAACCACTTGGTCACAAACACTGGCCAAAATTAGCGTTCAATTTAGTTTTTTTACTTTTTTCACACACAAACAAATATGAATGCTTACTTTGGCCAGTGTTTTCGACTAAGTGGCTACTAAAAAAGACTGGACATACCCCATATTGAATACCCTGGGTTGTCTACTTTAAAAAAAATATGTACATGTGGGGTGTTATTCAGAGATTTATGACAGATAATAGTGTTACAATGTCACTATTGATAAATTTTAAAAATGTATGTTTTGAAACCGCAATATCCTACTTGTACCTATAGCCCTATAACATGCAAAAAAAAGCAAAAAAGCACGTAAACACTGGGTATTTTTAAACTCAGGACAAAATTTGGAATCTATTTAGCAGTTTTTTTCATTCGCTTTTGTAGATGAGTAAAAGATTTTTCAAGTAAAAGTCAAAAAACATGTATTTTTTCAATTTTTCATCATATTTTTTTATTTTTTTTAAATTAAAATACATGAGATTATATAAATAATGGTATGTAAAGAAAGCCCCTTTTGTCCTGAAAAAAACAATATATAATTTGTATGGGAACAGTAAATGAGAAAGCGGAAAATTACAGCCAAACACAAACACCACAAAAGTGTAAAAATATGCCTGGTCGCAAATGTACAACATCGCAAAAACAGTCCAGTCCTTAAGGGGTTAAGTGTTCCCTTTATTTATTTGAGCAGTGTATATATTTAGTGGCCCTTGATAGCCAAAAAGGGACACTCCAGGCCCCAACACAACTTCAAAGCATTTGACAAGATTTGTCCTCATTCACATCCTGTATCTAAGCTATTCTTTCAATTCGGCTACTCTGGCCTGGAATCTGAAGTTCACTTTGAATTCTTGCTTTTGTAAATTAGCCGGATAGTAATTATTTACACGTCTGTGTATTGTCTCTGACTGCCTGCAGATTGGGTGGAATGAATACGTTTTATTGTATATTACATGTAACGGGGAAATCAGGCACATGGGTTAAACATAAAACCAAAGACAGTTAACTGCATCGAACACATAGTAAAAAATGGGCATTAACAAAAAAAACAACTTTGTATAAACATCTTCATTGCTGGGAAGTGTTTTAATATTCTATTTTATATACTTTTTTCAAGGAAAATTCAGCGTAACAAATCATTGTAACAACTAATAACAATTGTAGTCACAATGTGATCTATTGATCAATAGTTTTTCATATCAAGTTAAAAACATACAAAGTATGGGGTGTCACCTTATTAGGGCCCAGTTCGAGCGCCATCACCTTGGTCAGCGTGTCTAAGGCTCCTTTGGTGGCACCTGCAAATAAAACACCTAATTTGGCATGGTTGTGTATGGTGGAACCTCCCAAACATTACATAGTTCTATGTGGCATTGCTCGGACAGATTTCATTTATGCCCATTAAAGGTGCAGGTCACTAGCTATACCTCCTCAGAAGTTCTGATGCTTACAGTATACAGAATGATCTTGCAGTGCCCGCTGAGAAGCTTGACTTGAAACATTAACAATGGCACCAGGTACCTCACGTGCAATCATCTGGCGGGCAACGATCTGACAGGGAGATGGGAGGGAGATATGTTAATATACAGGAAAACTGTTTATAGTTTAAGATACATTTGTTGCAGTTTGCTTGAACACAAAAATGTTCAAATGTCCCCCAGGTACTGGCACAGAAGACAGCAGCGCGTATAGCGGTTAACGCCGTCTAAGTCGCGCCACGGCACCATATTTGCTCTTTACAAGTTGTAGACACCAACTTACTTGCGAGACAAGCAAAGCAGATTTTACATTCACGGCAAAGCTCCTGTGAAAATAAAGGTAAGAAGGAAGAATTAATGGAGAACCCTCAGATTCCAGGTTTATAATGTTAGATTTACTTTTCCCCTATAGCTAAAGGAACACTCCACATAAAGCTGATGCAAGTTCGTCATGTGTCTGGAGTTACATTTTTTTGAGGGTTTTTAAAATTGTGAGCAGAAAAGTCTCCCTGGCTGTCACAGAGCTCACTGAGAAGCAATGAGAACTCCGGCTCACTGAGAACGCCGGCTCACTGAGAAGCACTGAGAACTCTGGCTCACTGAGAAGCATTGAGAGCTCCAGCTCATTAGGAAGCCTCTGATTGGTGTATTCCTTGGCAAAGACTGTAAGTCTGCATCGGGGAAAGGTCTGCAGCTTTTGGCACCATCAGTTTTTTTCATTTATCCCTGAAGAAAACACGCAGAAAAGAAAACAGATGGATTTTTTGGGGGGTATTTATCTACTGAATAGTTAAAAATTGTGATGGAGTGTTCCTTTTAGCAAAAATGTGTTTGCGAAATCTGAAAAAAAACAAAAAACCTTCATTTTAAGTTTTATATATATATATATATATATATATATATATATATTAATAAAATAAGGTTCTGTGATTACCTTAAATAGTTAATATCATTTTTAAGAGTTCCATAGCCCGCTGTGGTGGGTTTGGTGCCAGCCTACATTAGTTAGTTATAAAACAGTTTGACAGCTTACCCCAATCCCCCATGTGCCCATCGGAGATGCCAGATATGTCTATAGCGCTAAGCATGGTGGATCCAGGATGCTCTCAGACAATGAGCGCAGTCCCAGCTCTGCTTTCTAGAGTAAGACTGGATGCGGCTGTGGGGTCCTAGCAAGACCTAGGTAAGTTGGCAAACTGCTCTAAAACTGGTGTAACTACTTACTGTGGGAACGGGACCTGGGCATCAAAACTTTAATTCTGTAAATCACTGATGCACAGTGCGTATTCTATAACAGGGATCCACATCCAGTTTACCTGAAATAGATAAACTGGAATAAATTAAAGACAGGCCATTCAGAATCTTTTAGTTGCAAAATGTCTTGTAAACAAGATCAGAACTGTTAAACTCCGTGCAGGTTGGTGGCCGACGTGGTCAGTTAATGATCCTGAAAACAAAAACTGGAGTTTGATCCCTTCAGACACAGAGACTGATCTCACTCTGACCCTGTGCCCGCGGTAACACCGGCCTCAGTGCTTCGAACGTTATACTCAATACAGAGTGAAGATATAACAACATGACAATCTAATATCATATAACGAGGTTCAGTCAGAGTTCAGGAGCCATGTCAGCATACAGGCCCCATATTAAAGGTCTGTATTATACACAGTCTGGTCCCATATTAAAGGTCTGTATTATACACAGTCTGGTCCCATATTAAAGGTCTGTATTATACACAGTCTGGTCCCATATTAAAGGTCTGTATTATACACAGTCTGGTCCCATATTAAAGGTCTGTATTATACACAGTCTGGTCCCATATTAAAGGTCTGTATTATACACAGTCTGGTCCCATATTAAAGGTCTGTATTATACACAGTCTGGTCCCATATTAAAGGTCTGTATTATACACAGTCTGGTCCCATATTAAAGGTCTGTATTATACACAGTCTGGTCCCATATTAAAGGTCTGTATTATACACAGTCTGGTCCCATATTAAAGGTCTGTATTATACACAGTCTGGTCCCATATTAAAGGTCTGTATTATACACAGTCTGGTCCCATATTAAAGGTCTGTATTATACACAGTCTGGTCCCATATTAAAGGTCTGTATTATACACTGTAGTCTGGTCCCATATTAAAGGTCTGTATTATACACAGTCTGGTCCCATATTAAAGGTCTGTATTATACACAGTCTGGTCCCATATTAAAGGTCTGTATTATACACAGTCTGGTCCCATATTAAAGGTCTGTATTATACACAGTCTGGTCCCATATTAAAGGTCTGTATTATACACAGTCTGGTCCCATATTAAAGGTCTGTATTATACACAGTCTGGTCCCATATTAAAGGTCTGTATTATACACAGTCTGGTCCCATATTAAAGGTCTGTATTATACACAGTCTGGTCCCATATTAAAGGTCTGTATTATACACAGTCTGGCCCCATATTAATGGTCTGTATTATACACAGTCTGGTCCCATATTAAAGGTCTGTATTATACACAGTCTGGTCCCATATTAAAGGTCTGTATTATACACAGTCTGGTCCCATATTAAAGGTCTGTATTATACACAGTCTGGTCCCATATTAAAGGTCTGTATTATACACAGTCTGGTCCCATATTAAAGGTCTGTATTATACACAGTCTGGTCCCATATTAAAGGTCTGTATTATACACAGTCTGGTCCCATATTAAAGGTCTGTATTATACACAGTCTGGTCCCATATTAAAGGTCTGTATTATACACAGTCTGGTCCCATATTAAAGGTCTGTATTATACACAGTCTGGTCCCATATTAAAGGTCTGTATTATACACAGTCTGGTCCCATATTAAAGGTCTGTATTATACACAGTCTGGTCCCATATTAAAGGTCTGTATTATACACAGTCTGGTCCCATATTAAAGGTCTGTATTATACACAGTCTGGTCCCATATTAAAGGTCTGTATTATACACAGTCTGGTCCCATATTAAAGGTCTGTATTATACACAGTCTGGTCCCATATTAAAGGTCTGTATTATACACAGTCTGGTCCCATATTAAAGGTCTGTATTATACACAGTCTGGTCCCATATTAAAGGTCTGTATTATACACAGTCTGGTCCCATATTAAAGGTCTGTATTATACACAGTCTGGTCCCATATTAAAGGTCTGTATTATACACAGTCTGGTTCGGTACAGATTCAGTGGTCCCTGCCTGAGACACTCACTGGTCGAACACTTCCTCTGTGACCTCCAGGAATGGCTGTAACTTGGCAACAGCCGCATTATTCACTAACAGGTCCACGGGTCCTACTGAGCTGAGCGCAGCCTCCGTGGCCGACCAATCTGCCAGATCCACACAGATGGTCTCCACACCAGGGCACTAAATAGAAACACAAACAATCCACACGTTAATCACTGCAGTCAAGGAGCCAGTACCTCTCTACAATGCATGTGGACATTATCTACGTAGAGTATGTGGAACACTCTAGCTCCCCCGGTGGCAGGGACAGGCAGGTTCATTTCCCAGGAGAGATTCTCTGAAGGTCTGACCTCTTACCACAGGCTTTATAGCAGCACCCTTGTGATGGGTCAGATGCTCAGACCTCCCAGGACAGTCTCTCTAGCTCCCTCTAGTGGTTGGGTCTGGCAGTAGCTCTCTAGCTCCCCCTAGTTGCACGGTCTGGCAGGATCCCTCTCTCTCACCCTTGTGGCAGGGTCTGGCAGGCCAACCTCCCAGGACAGTCTCTCCATCTCCCCCTAGTGGCCAGCTCAGGCGGTGTCTCTCTATCTCCCCCCTAGTGGCCGGCTCCGGCGGTGTCTCTCTATCTCCCCCTAGTGGCCGGCTCCGGCACTGTCTCTCTATCTCCCCCTAGTGGCCGGCTACGGCAGGGTCTCTCTATCTCCCCTAGTGGCCGGCTCCGGCAGTGTCTCTCTATCTCCCCCTAGTGGCCGGCAGTGTCTCTCTATCTCCCCCTAGTGGCCGGCAGTGTCTCTCTATCTCCCCCTAGTGGCCGGCTCCGGCGGTGTCTCTCTATCTC